TATATATATATATATATATATATTTCATTATTGCTATATTGTGAGTTTGAATTAAAAGCATTAAAGAGAAGTAAGTTATTTGATATATCGGTGAAATATGATACCTATTTGTAGGTATCAACAAATTATGATCATTTATGATAATGAATGTTGCATCTAATTATTTACTTATTTAATTTTAAATTTTGAATATATATACATTTCATTAAAAATTTTTACACTTACATAAGTAATATAAGATTTTTATATAATAAACATATAAAAACACAATATATTAAAACCAATGCAATTTTATTATTGACATATCTTTTTAAATACAGGATGTATCAATTATTGTGTTTTACATGATCATTAATGCATAACATCCTTGTTCCTTGCATCTAAAATCATATTCAGATATTTCATTAATTATATTAATTATAGTGACCGGTAATTAATAAAATAATATATCGATAAATGTTTAAACAATTCATGTCGTGGCTGTTTCAGCCAACAAGACAAGCGGAAGACGGCTTAGTGCCATACCATCAGGCCAATATGCCTCTTATGGGGGCAATGGCCCAACAGGTACATTTATTACTATTCCTTCATATTCCTTCCTTTCATTTGTGTTGTCTCATCATCGATCAATCAAAAATTATCAGATTTATATTAAAGAACATAATTTATATATTTTATGGCATGTGTTTTGTAATAAAAATCTTTTATTGTAAGATAAATGATAAGAGATTTAATATATTATTTTTTTCTATTTCTTAAATATATATTTTATGTATTTTAAAAATAAGCTAAAAAAGGTTGATATAATTGTCTAACTTGCTTAGAAAACTTTACTTTTTAAGTAAAATAAACTACAATTTGATTTGTCAAATTTAATTTTCACATATTTTTTTTTTTACTTTTTAGCCTCCGCATGCTGGTGTCAAAGGAAAAGAAAAATTGTCTGATCCTTTAAAATCTTGCAATGACATTTTGAAGGAACTTTTCGCTAAAAAACACTCGGTAATTATTCTTTTAAGTATGGCAAGCTAATGCAATATTATTCTGGAACGTGTAATTTACTCTTTTCTTTTCTGATAATATACAGCCCTATGCTTGGCCTTTTTACAAACCTGTTGATGCAGAACTTCTAGGCCTTCATGACTATCATGAGATTATCAAGAAACCTATGGATCTTGGCACAGTAAAGGTATATATTTTTGATTATGTGTGAATATACTTAAAGTGTGAATATACTTATACAGGATATTATACAGATGTTAAACTTTTTAAACTTGTAAAATTTCTCTAAAACTGAGAATTATCATAAATTTTATATCATTATATTTGCTGTAATAATTTAATGATTTAAACATTTTGATTTAAAACATCTAATTTTTTTTACAGACGAAAATGGATAATCGTCAATACAAAACTGCAAACGAATTTGCGGGCGATGTACGACTTATATTTACTAATTGTTACAAATATAATCCTCCCGATCATGACGTTGTTTCAATGGCTAGGAAACTTCAAGATATATTTGAGATGAGGTTTGTTGAACTTTGTCGAAAGTAGTACGTAAATACATGACAGAATCTAAATTGTGTGATTGAACACAACAGATTTGCTAAAGTTCCGGATGAACCAAGCATGGGTAGCAGTACTGTGACTACGAAAGGAAGCAGCAGTGGTAGCGGTAGTAGTTCTGGAGGAGATAGTTCTTCCGATAGTGATGATTCGGTTGAGGAACGTACTCAGAAATTACTTGAATTACAGCAAGAGGTACAATATTTTTTTCGAAATAAAATGTCTTTTTATAGGCAGATTTACATAAAAATGTAATTTATTACTTTTATTATAGCTGAAAGCAATGCAAGAGCAAATGAGGAAATTAGTAGAGGAGAGCGGCAAGAAGAAAAATAAAAAGAAGAAGCCAGAGAAGCCAAAATCAAAGCCAATGAGCAATAAGAATAGCAGCCTTGTTGCCAGTCATACCGGTGCCATGAAGGAACTTATGAAACCGAGTGGTGGCATTCCCAACGTGTCTGACAGTGTTGGTGCTAGTATAGCCAGTGTTGCGATGGGTGCAGGCGATTTGAAAATGCCTGGTGGCATAGCTAGCGATCTCCACCATCAAACTACAGCAATAGGACCTAACAAGACTCATGGCGCAGGAAGTTTAGGACATCATTTGCCAGCAGCAGCGAATGCTAAGCCAAAAGGTAAAGGCCGGGGACCTGGAAAAGCTGCCACAACTGCGAATACCGCAACCAAAAGGCCGAAGGCTAACAGCAGATCTACTGGGAACAAGAAGAAAAATACTGGCAATCAACCACCTCCGATCACGTTCGACTCGGAAGATGAAGATAATGCCAAACCAATGTCTTATGATGAAAAGAGGCAGCTCAGCTTGGATATTAATAAGCTACCAGGTAAAAATATTTGTTTGATTAAAATTCTGATTAATACCATTCTGATTATATTGATTAATACATTAATAAATATATTTCAAAAAATTTTAAAATAGGATTTATTGTTGGCTAGACAGTTATAATATTATAACAACAGAACTGAAATCATTTATCTGCAAATATTTGCAAATTGATAATGCAACTTGATTTGAAACATCTTTGCTATTTATATTTACTGCTCATATAATTCTATTTTGTGGAATATTCTAAATTGTTTTGTTTGATTGTAATTATAAAGGCGAAGAGAAAAAAAAGCAATTAAAAATATCAGTTTTCAAAATTTAAAAAATTTTATTTATTTTTTTTTTTTAGGCGACAAATTAGGTCGTGTTGTACACATAATACAATCTCGAGAGCCTTCACTGAGGGATTCAAATCCAGATGAAATCGAAATCGATTTTGAGACACTGAAGCCATCAACGCTTAGAGAACTGGAGAGCTATGTTGCATCATGCCTCAGAAAGAAGCCACGTAAGCTTTACTACAAACTTAACTTTATTTTGAATTTATAAAATAATTTAGCTGCCACAGTATTAATACATTAATATTATACATAACATATGTTTCAATTGTAATATTATTCAGTTACATTTAAATTTGAATAAGATATAAGTAAAAGATAACATTTTATCAACAAAATTCTACTTTTAATATATATTTTTATTTTTTAAACATGCTGAGTTTGGTTGTGAGTTTGCTCAATGTCGTGACAATATTCTAATAAAGTTTACACACATGCAAGCGTACGCACTTACGTACCTACGACGAATGAAAAAATCTTATGTAATATATATTTATATATTATTTCATCGTGTGTTATAACAGACAAGAAAGTCAGTGGTAAGTCCAAGGATGAACAGATGGCCGAAAAGAAACAAGAATTGGAAAAAAGGTTACAGGACGTAACAGGGCAGTTGGGCAATGTCAAGAAAACTGCCAAGAAAGGTTAGTGTCTGACTAATTTTTCTATAGAGCTTTGTTTTTCCTAAAATCTTGGAAATCCAGGAATATATTCGAAGGATGGGTAAAATTGTGATATTAATAACAAAAATCGTTTGTATATATACTTTTTACAGAAGACAGTAGTAAGTCCGTCGATGTAGTTGGAACTGGTGGTGCGAGTGGACCTTCACGATTGTCGGCATCGAGCAGTAGTAGCAGCGATAGTGACTCCAGCAGTAGTTCGCTTTCTTCATCGAGCACTGATTCAAGCGACAGTGAAGCAGGTTAGATATAAATGCAACTGTTGTTACTATTAGACCCTTACTTGGGAACAAAGAGCTACTTGTAACTAAGTAGTTGTCACAAATATATGAATTATTTCTTCGATGAGATTCAAAATTATGGGATTATGTGCGCGACTACCTGTTTCAATATATATATTTGTATATTATAATTTAATTTAATATATATGTATATATACAGACAGGTAAATATACTTTCGGGGAAATAACGTATTTCGGACTTTCGAGTTCTTTGCAAAAATTTGTTACTTCCTAACAGATGCACCTATAAAGCACAGATTTTCATACTCACGTTTACGCCCAAATTTTAAAAGACAATACATTTTTACGAACACACAAATACAAATATGGTTTAGATTCTTAATGCGCTTTTTCTCATCGCCAAGTATAACAGGGTTGTCTATGAGACAGATATTTCTACATTTTTAAAAATCCTTACTTTCTGTGCGCGTCTCTTATCATTTTTTTTGTGTGTTTTAATATCATAAATGACATTTAGAACGATAAGAAATTCTCTATTAACAAAAATAACGGCAAAGTCGTAGACGTGAAGTTCACAGTTGAAAGAACGGCTCATCATTTCATGTGGCAGCGTTTAATTCTGTATATTTGTATAAAATAGTTGAATAATATTCTTGTCATGTATAATTTTTTATAATACAGTACCACTGAAAGTATAATATTATATAATTAATGACATAAAATTAAACACATGATTAAATAGAGTAGATTTTCTTACTTCAGTTTCATACAAAAAAGGAAATTACTTATGATTATTATTATAATTAAATTTCAGTACGTGAAGTTATATATTATATATAATAAAACTTTGAATTCTATATCAATATTTTTTTATGAACAACTTTAATTATTATTGATTAATATATAAGTTAATTCATTTTAAAAGAATATAGCTAATTCAATATTTAAAATTATATTGAACAATTCTTTTTTATTAATTTTTTTAATTAAAATTATGTAAAATTATGTATAAGCTGCACATTACATAATACGTAATCAATAATTGCAATAATGCTTGTAGTAAATACTTTTTTACAATCTTCTGTTTCATATAGTATTTATTTCTATTATTGTGCTATAGTCTGATAAACTTTAATTGATAAACGCGATGCCTCATGATTTGGTGGTAAATTTAAGAACTTCAAAGAATACTTATGAATTCTGTGCCTAACCAATTTTCTATTGGCAAATGAAACAATCGAAAAATGCTGATATATCATTAATATTGCTACAATGATGTATGATTAATATTTGCTATACAAGAAGGAAGTTACAAACTAGATATAAACAATTTTTTTTTAATGGGGATTAACGCAAATATCTTCTTAAGCTGCTGAATCGTGCTTATTAATTACTGTATTTATTAGGACAGCGTTATTCATGTAGCTTAAGTGCTGCGTTATATTAATGCAAGTATGAATGTGGTGTCAAGTTTCATCTTGTAAACGAGCTGTAGAACAAGATTTGCCATGTCTACGTAATTTTGTACATTTTTTCATTGTACAAGTGTCGCAGATGTACGATTGTGTACAAGAATCGAAACTTGACATACGGTTAACGAATTTTTATTTAATTTACGAGACATATGCAATGGTAAGAACAAAGGTGAGCTAGTGGAGTGCAGACTGTGTTTAGAGGATACCATGCCAGCTTGTTTCACGAATTATATTATTGATTCTGAACGATATGATTATTTTCTCTTCTCCTATCGGTGTTGACAGTACATTCTGTTGCTCGAAAGTCAATAGTTTGCTACTCAAGGTCACTGAATTTTTCACTGCAGTTCCGCCTTTGGGTTCGTAAGAAAAAGTCATTGCTTCTAAGGTCAGTAAAATATCTGGAAAGAAACTTATCCTGCAATCAGCGACATTGCACTTAACCAAAAGTGGACTGTTGCCGTGACTGTAGTGTCGAATTAGTACCTTGTAATAAGTTACACAACTATTTACCGTAGCTTTCCCCGATAATTATATTGCCCCATATAACCCGAAAAATAATTCAATATAATAATTCTTGCAAACTCGTTATTTATTTGCATTGCAAACGATAAGCAAAACATTACTTGTATCACTGTGTGTTTCGAATCATTAAGTTTGTTTTCTCGCATTGATTCATTCATGCCGTATCATTTCTCAGAATCTAGAACAGTGATATTAACATGCGTTACGAACTAAAAAGAAATGGGTACATAGTACGCAATGTTATCAATGTATATTGACGTGAAAAGTGCGTTAAGTGCTCCTAAAAAAAAAAACGGTCACATATTCCCACACATTTTAAACTGTGCGAACTTGACGTCGGTCGAAGTAAAGAATATAAAGAAATAAATTAGGCAGTGATCATAGCGATACACACACGGGAGATATTGCAGACAATGTGTTGGTGGCTAGATTTGCAAATCAGTGCATTTTTAAGATTAGCATAGTTACGCGTTGCATTTTACTGTAGTAAGCTACGCTCTTGTCTCCGCAAAAGAATTCTAACAAGATTCTTCTCAACATGAAGAAGACTCGATTCTAGTTACCTCAGATTACTAATTCCATTTCAAGCTTAGCTTATCATAGCCAAATATTTGTGCTTCCTTTAAGAAGTCAATTATTATTAAAGTGTTTCGTCTCTCGCAAGCCGAATCTGAACAACAGTGTTACGTTGCTTGTGCGAGACAAGCGAGAACTAATACAAATCTTCCTTACTGTTTTACTCTGAATGTATAGATTCGAATAAAGTAATTATTATGAATCTCCAACGGAATATATTGGTGCGGAGTACAATTTTAATTGACAGAGATCTCGTTGTTTTTTCGTAAAATTTAATGACTTTGAGCATATATATGTACAAAGTTTAAGTTAATGATGTGTAAAGGAGTAGAAGGTAAGACAAGACCGAGAGAAACGACAGAGACAGAAAGGGATGACGAAAGATCGATCACACACGAAGAAGGCAAATGGAAAGGAAAAAAGGAAATAGGAAGGGAAACAAGTTAAGGAGATGGTAATATGTATACATGTATATGTATATGTATATACATATATAAATACACAAGGCGCCCTAGCCTCCAAACACATTGTTTGCACTCCGCTAAGCTTTGCTAATCGCCGTTTCATCCTATTTACCACTAGTTCTTCATCGGTAACCATTGTCAGTTTTTCTCATCGCTCAAATGATTAAAAGAAAAGTTGGAAATATTGTCTTCTTGCTAATTGAAATTGATATATCATTATTCCAATGACGAATTGGTGTGGTTTTACATGCCTTAATATATGAAGTAGTAATTATTCCTGTTAAGAGCATACACTTCGTTTCTCGTCGCAATAGAACATCTCGCATATGTGTAAATATCAAGGAATTTCCAAGTAACACAAATGTTATCATAATTTTCGAAATAACATTACTTTTTAACTCGCGCGTGTCCTATCAGAGCGTTTTTTAGAAAATCTTTTTTATACGAATTTAAACACGATTAATTTTAATATTTTGTTTTTATATTTCTATGTGTAAATGTCTGCTCGATAATGTTTTTTTTTTCTCTCTCTCTCTCTTTTGTTGAGATATCGTGTAAATTTAGTTCTTATTACATGTAGCAAGATATATACATAAGAATCTATTGTGAACGTAACCGATAATGACGCTAGGATGCTCGCAAGAAGCAATCCTTGTAATTGAACATGTCATAATATGAGCATTAAGGATAATCGAATTTGCACTCGAGTACAAGTAAATAGTATCATGAATCATAACACTCAGAGCAACGTACTTACTGCCCCGACAAAATAAGAGAAGAAGATAAAGAGTTTGGGCGATTAATTACTACGATAACTTGATACAAAACAAGCCGTAATTAGTCGGAAAAAAAAGTGTTCGTCGATATCTAAGAAAATTATTGATATGGAAGCTATAAGCATTTACAAGTAGGTACGAGAAACGTCGGGCAGGTTAAATATTTACCATTTTATGTTTCCCAAGATACTGAAAGTGACTAGAGAAATCCGGAGAATTAGCTAGACTATGAGAGAGAACAAATTTTGACGGCGTGTGCTGAATTAGATAGATACTACACATCTATTAAGATACAATCAGCATTAGCTTATAAACGCGAGGTATAGGGCATTTTATAAATGATATTCATATTGCCTTCCAAAATTTTTTGTAGCGATTACTCTATATGCAAAGCACGCATCTCTAAATTTTGTTTTCCGCGTTTTTTCATCCATACGGGAACGTCATTCTTCCTGCTACGAATTATTTCCGCTTGCGTTATATGCAAAAGGCAATGATTTAAAGATTCTAAATATTTTGTTACATTCAGACGATGACACCACATTTATTTAATTTCGCTAATTATCTTCCTCTCCAGAGTCGTATGTAAGCGTTCCGTCTGTTTTTTGCGTACCGCGAGTTTAATAGTAACGATAAAAACACGGTCATACGTGTTCTGTACATAGTGAAAACTAATATATCATAAAATATTAATAAATAGTTGTAAGTTACATTTATGGAGGAATAAAAAAAAACGACATACACGACGCGCGAAACTTTTTCTAAGTGCATACACAAAGTTAAAAAACGAGTGAAATAGACATTAATTTTTCAAAGAGTCGCGGTTGGCTCATATGTGGTGGTCCAGTTAACTATATTATATAAATTAAGATACGCTGGTACTCCTCCTCGTTGTTTCGTTTTGCTTTTCATTTGTCGAATGAGTTTAGCAAGGTTGTCGATCACATTCCATCGATAATTTTCAGTGCTGTGATTTCACGATTGTTACGAATCACGAATTGTTTGAGAGAGCACGCAGATCAGACAAACGATAGTACTTGTGGCATCACAGTTTTCCATGTATCTTACCATCGTCGCTGATTTTATGTAGTACACACGATGAACATCGAGCAGGAGTCTCTTGCCACCGATCTCAGTGTTGCGCTAACTACGACTTTAACATTAAAACAGTTTGTAAGAGTTTGTCGCTCTTGTATCATTCATCTTTAAGTTGAACTCTGTATTGTACCATTTATGTGACCTTTATTTACACATTACTCCTATTATTATATAATATTACATTAATTATATTATATTATACGAAAAAAAAGAAGTTAAAGAAAAGACGGCAGTTTGATGATTTTTGTAGTCAATGTTTTATAATCGTCATTTCCGCCACCATAATGATTATTATTACCGTTATTGTAACAAATCATGAGTATCGATACACAAAAAAAAACGACGAGAGTAGGCATCATGTGATCTCGCATACATATATGTTGTGACATATATGTATGTGTGACAATTTCGCGACACGTATGCATGTATGTGTGGGCGCGCGTGCGGTATGTATGTATGTACGTGTATACATATATATATATATGCACACGCAGATATTCATAAATGAATTGAATACAACTAACTTTACGTAGAATGGGAAGAAAAAAAATTGTTCTGCGTATTAAAATTTTTTAATATAAAAGAATCATTAAGATGAAAGTCCACAAAAAAAGGAGCATACAATTGAGATATTTAAATTAACATTGTTGTACACAGTGATACAATTATAATATAAGCATATGAATAAAATCTATTAGAAAATACATGCACAAAGTTGTTTGATTTTTGTTCTGACGTATATTTTACATTTTTTTTTACTTGGCGTTTTTGCGACACTCAATAGCTGGTATCCTCTGCACATTGCATTTCGCTAGTTCTCCATCGACCTGTGTCTCTCGATGTGACAGAACAATGTTTGACTGCACGTAACTCACTACTAGATGCACATTACATTGAATTTCAGGAAACTCCTCGAATCGTCCACATAGGAAGAAAGCAAAGAAGAACGCACCAAGTACAGGACCTTCTGCACAGACTGCTACCGTCGCATCGGTAAGCTAACTGATTGCAATAAGCCCATAGGAATTAAGGGTATATATTTTTTCATGTTACGCTTTGGGATAAGTTGTAAGCATTTCCTAGATAATACGTATTATGTGTCTCTTAATATATTTGTAAATACTGATTCCGAATTTAGAAATTAATTTAAAAGGATAGTGCAAATTATATTACAAGATATGATATAATATTTATAACAATATGACATTTGTCTTACCGTGACACTTTTAATAATTTTCACGTGTTAATATTGATAATAAAGATAATATACTCTTCATATATAGGCATCTACATTAAATCATAGTGGAGCTCTTTTAATGAATAATCAACCACCGGCGAATTCTACGGGACCAATAACAAAGCCAACTGTTAGTCAACCAAGCAATATTCCTTCAGAATCAGGTATTATGTTAATAAAATCATGAAATTATATTTTGCAATTTTCGCGACGGGGATACTTTTGTTGAATATAACACTCTAAAAATGAATTTTCGGGAATTTTTTTCTCGACACTTACACGTTTATTTATCACACTTTTACTTGCTTATAGACAACTACTTCTGAATTTTTCAATTTTTTCATTTTTTTTAAATTATAAAATAGTTTTTTAAATAGACTCAGCTATATACGGCATATTGTAATTACTAAATTACTGTAATATTTTTTTATTTATATATATAGATAAATTATAGACATTTTTTTATTAGCCGAATCTTTAATGACAATTGCTAAGAAAAAAAGACAGATGGTCACTGCATATAGGCACAACTACTTTTAAATTTTTTCAATTTTTTTTAATTTTTTTTTATTATAAAATGATTTTTCTAATAGATTTAGCTATATATGATATGATCATTGCAAAAAAGATGCTTAATATAGATCTGATTAAATATCAAATTAATAGATCATTAGACGTAAGTGTAAAAATTCTTTTAGGGGGCAATAATAATCAGCCAGTCGCAGTGGCTGCTGTTACAACAGGACAAAGTATACCTGTCGCGAGTCACGCATCTATGCCAGCCCAACCGTCACGACCTACAGCTCTGGCTACGGCCGCTCCTGTCAAAAAACCAACACCAACACCACCACCACCACCACCACCGACAACATCTAACCCACCAACTCCGTCGATCTCTGTACCAACTCCACCGCCCAGCGTCACACCTACAAATACAAATTCTATGACGGCTTCGCCAGCTGTATCTCAACAACCACCGCAGCAGCCACCAACGTCCATTAGTTCCTTTCCAAATGCAAATACATCCGTATCCACAGACGGAACAAATTTAAATCAACAATCCGATCTTTTACAGCCATACAATACTTTAGGTATCTATAATTAGATACAATTTTTATTGGTATTGTTTGCGTGAACATCACGCGTAAAATAATTATTTATTACATATGAAAAGCAAGTACAAAGTAACCTTAGAAACGTATTTTATATAGCTTCGGTGCCTACTACGCAGTCCTCCATGGAAACACTTGCAGTCAAGAAGGAGCCTTCATTTATTCAAACACCCACTTTGGATCAAACCCTCGCTATCAAGAAAGAATCGTCGTTCATCCAAACGTCTCATACGACGAATAATACTAATAACAACACAAATCTCAATTTGCTACCGGACGTAAAACCTGTCAACATGATGCCAACGAGTATGGCTTCTAATCTGAATTTGGGCAATATTAATATGACGAATTTGAACATGAATTTGTCGCAAGGACTGGCGGCACATATATCCATGCACAATCAATTAGAGAATATGATTAATACCACTGCGCCGTTGACTAATATACAGAATTCGCATAACATTACAATGTCGCAACAGCATTCCAACGGATTTCCAAATACAAAACGCGGAAATTCACCGCCGAATATGCTGAATAATAACGGCATTCCAGGATTGAATATAGGAATGAATATGGGAGGCATGAGTTCGATATTTGATCCCCTTCCTATAACATCCATGCCGATGCAGATCTCTCAGATTCCCCTAAAGAAAGAAGAAAAGCCCTTGCCAATTTCTCAACCTCAGTTGACGCAAAAGCCTATGGATGGTTCGTGCATCTTATTTATTCATTGCATGCTTTTCTCTAAACTTGCATTTAGACTGCTTAAATACTTGTATTCATCTTTTTTTTTAACTAAAAACACTAGTAAATTTATATTGCACATACAACTTAAGAAATAATTTAAAAAATAGCTTTGATATTAGTACAGCAATTAATTAAAACATGTTACATAAAATAAGGTACAAGTGATGCAATATATATTAATTGGTTTAACACTAATAATTTAATCTCTTAATAAGTTTATTATAAATTTACTTTTTTATTTCTTGATGCGCTCACATAAATTGTATATTTTTTATAATTTAATTTTGTATCATTTAATATTATGTGGTTTCTCGGATTCTGTACGTAGAATTATTCTTCTGTCTTTACATCTTTACTAAGCTTGAAATAACAATGCTGCTTTATACGTGTTTTAACTGCTGTACTCTAATTGCTTACTAACTAAACGTATAATACTATTGCTCTAGCAGGAGCTTTTTTTGCAGAAATTAATACCCTAGGAATGCCACCGATGGGTAATCATGCCAGTGCTCAAATGATGCCTGAAAAGAAAATGACCCCACCTGACACAAAGAATTCTGCTGCAAACTTTGCGTCAGCCTTTAAAAATAAGGTATAAGAGGCAAATTCTAAATATTTATATCAAACTATTAAACTATACATACAAGAGAAGCATAAATTAATTTTTTAATATATTATTTTTTATGCATGCGTTTTTTACATTATATATACATACATATTTTATATGTATTATAAAAGTAAAGTAATTTTGATTTTTTAAATCTAATAGATAAAGTCAAGCTTGTTATATGCAAAGAAATGAAAAAATTAATGAGATGTTTTTATAAATTAAAAATATACTTTAGTCTCAAATAATTGAGTACAACGAACATTTTAACTTTACTTCAGTTTCAGCGTTAAAATATGAATAGAAATTTAATAACATGAAATTTAGAATAGAATGAAATATAAATTAACTAACGAAACGAAAATTAAAAGATATGAATATAAACAAAGGACACGAATGAAATGAAAGAATCAAGCAAAAAAAAGAATAAAAACTGATAAAAGATTGTGTCAAAAGTTATAAACATTATCGTACGTAAAACGTTTATATAAAGGTATAGTAAATGATTAAAAATGATATTCATAACTCATTCCTCGTTCGGAAGCGAGAATAGTTAAGTTTGATATGATAAAAAAAACATTGTCCGATGAAAATGTCAAATTGAATTTTTTATGGGAAAAGTCCAATATATCAAAATTCGTGGTTACGGGAATTATGTATAATTAATTTTATATAAGTAAAAAATAAATTTAAGAAGTAAATGCTAAAATTTATGAAATCTAAGACGGTAAAAAGGATTAAAGTAACAAAGTGTAGTGACGTGAAAAATTGATTTGAAAAATATGTGTTTAACAATTGCCTCTTCGTATCGAAACTTGTAGATGACTTTGCGCAACTAAGAAAGCTAACTAGTCGAGAGCGTTCACTTGGGTGGCACGTTAAGTGACAATCTCAGAGAATTGTAAAGCGTCAAATGAGCCACTCGCCTTATTTAAAGTAAAGCGTTTACTCTTGCAAAAAATTGTTGACTTGCTCTCCGAATTTCTAGAAGATTCACTACTTTTATTTTGCCCCTCTTTATTCTGAGGCAAAAGTATCTTCTAATGTCTGGAATCTTCTAGAATGTCGTAGTGATAAAGTATATGTTTTTTGTATATCTGAACTAGTAGATACTCTTTGCACTTGAAATAAACATATGTTTGATATTTGGCAAAAGCGAGAAGGAAAGGTCAGTGCAGGAATAGAAAACAAACTTAAGATCAGGCGCCCCGAGTCGCCGGTCGCAGATGGCAAATATCTCTTGTGACGACGTGAACGCTTTGCTATCTTGAAATCACCTTAACGATCGGTTTGAATAAGTTAGCAGCTCGTGCTTCGTCATACTTTTCGTCGCGATTAATTGCGGTTCCTTTCGATCGCGATCGTGCGCGATTGTGAATTTTGAACTCTTAACGAAGTTAAAATACTTGATTTTGGTGAGTTTTTGCTCTTATTCATGTGCACTTTGAAATAATACGAAAGTATAAAGTAAACTTTTGTCTTTCTGTTTCGATTCCGCGCGTTGTCCTGTCGCTTCACATCCCACATCTTTGTTCGTGTGTTCATATCTTTTAATTTTTGTTTTGCTAGTTAATTTTTATTTAATTCTGTTCTAAATTTTATATTAAATTTCTATTTATATCATTATTTTTAACGCTGATGAAGACTAAATACAGCCGAAACGTTCATCGTATTCAATTATTTCAAATAAAATACATTTTTAATTTACGAAATCATCCTTACTGCTCGTCATTTGTCGTTGACCTCCTCATATTATGTTAAAATTTAACACATACTTTTAATTACATAGACTGTAGAGCAGAACGTAAGGAACGCATCATCATGGTCTTCCCTCGCGCAAGCTTCGAGTCCACAATCAGCAGTCGCAGGAAGTAGTATGAAGAGCGCAGCGCGAGAAACATTCCAGGCATTCAAGAAGCAAGCTAAAGAAAAGCAGGATAGGGTTAGTTACAATAATTCTGTAAAATAACTTTCTATGTTACGTAACGTGTCTATTTTTATTATTGTAATACTATTTTCATATTAATGTTTATAAAACAGCAAAGAGCCCTATTAGAGCAACAAGAGATGCGCAAACAACAGAAGGAGCAAGCGGAACGAGAGAGATTGCGACAGGAGAATGAAAGAAGACGGGAACGAGAGGAAGAAGATGCTCTGGACAAAGTTAGGAAAAATATTGGCGATCAGCAAGGCAACGTTATGACTGCCACGACGCGAACGGAAGAAGTAAAAGCCATTACTGACACAGATAGCAGTAGTCCGAGTCATTCGTCCAGTCAGGACAAGTCTGCTGCAGAAAGAGAACGTCTACGGCAACGGGAGCAAGAACGCCGGCGACGAGAAGCGGTAAGTACTTGATGTTTTCGCATTCGTAAAATTTCTATTATGACTTTTCCACAAAATATAATAGAAAAAAGTTTGATATAAAATATTAAATTAAAGTGAACAAGGTTAGGGATTTGTGTGACGATTATCATGTGTGTAAATCTTAATCACGTATATATATAATTGTATGCAAAAAAATTGTTTTTTGCACGGTCTGAATATAACTTAACAAATAGCTTAATAACCATTTTTGGCTTAATACATAATTTAGAATTTTAATTGTTATAGTACATACATGCTATATAAAGCTGACAATATATTACAAAAAATAAAATTATTAAAAAAAAAAGAGATAAATAAAGCTTATGTTTATAAGTCAATTTAATTATTTTATCATTATAATAATTTGCGATACAATTTGAAACAAATTTGACTTTCTAAGTAGATATACGTAGGGATATATGAAAAAACAGATTACCTTCGACATTTACAGTAAAGGGATTTGTGAAGAATGGTTTATATTTATCTTTTCAGCTGGCAAGTCAAATTGACATGAATATGCAGAGCGATTTGATGGCTGCGTTTGAGGAATCTTTATAATGTTACTATATCCTGTTTATAATAAACCCACAAAAAACTCGGACGTATGTTTGGCGTTGAGCGATATTGTAGAAATCTTTAAATACGACGTCAATCAATAAACAAAAACAACGCAGACAATGAACAGACTCAGATAAATAACGATGACGACATATGCCGTTGTGCTTAGTTATCAAAATGGTAGTTGGGACATTCCAACAGAAAATCCATTTGGTCGTCAAAAGATTCGGACAGTTCATTAAAACTGAGACAAACTGTATTGTCTCTAGAACGACAGACACTTAAGTGCGACTAAATATTGTAATTAGATAAATACTTATACGACTTCAAAAATGCTACACTGATATTGTGTTACATTTTTCCGGTTTTCATAAGTTTGTACTTTATGTAAATTTGGAAACCACATATTAAGCAAATAAGAGAGGTTTGCATGTGATAACCGAATGCGTGCGAATAGATATGAATGTCGGCTTAAAGAGGAGTAAAAATCGTGTACATTTAGTTAAGTTTTGTATTTTTCCACATTGAGTCATTAATCGTTGGTAGGATTACGTAGACGAGTGTTTCTGCCAATAATACATGTAATCGAGCGACTAATTTGTAAGGGCGTTATTAATGATAGTTCGTAATTATACCAACTATCATTAATAACGCCCCTTGCAAGTTACTTGCTCGATTATTCATATACGCTATTTGTAATCACAAAAATAGCTAGGCGTATTTATGAATAAACGATAGAGAGATGTAAGATAATATGAACATCTAAGAACTTGGTGAATTTAATAATGATCATCACGGCTGTCCACATGTGACTTCAATTGATCAACTGCTGATCGATCAGACTAATTAACAGCTATACTATTGCGATTGATTCAAGAGTTATTGCGAGCCAGAGCTGGTCGATTCAAAGCTAATTCATTAACTCACTTTAGAACAATGTTGTCAATTATTACGAATAATGGTAAGATGATTCTAGAATTGAAGTAGTTTCGATCCTACCAACCATTAGAACAGACTATGTACCTAATTCTTCGTATACTTTAGGCACATGGGAAAAGAAATCGTGAGGCCGGATGAAATTAGGAAAGAACGTGTTAGGAAAGAATTATATTTATTCGATTATTAGGGTATGGTATTTCGCAAAAATATAAAAATTATTAAAATATAAAAAAAATTTTTTCGGGGAAAACATTTGCGTGTAACCTTAAAATGTCTTAAAATCTACTCAAATTTGGCGTATCATGAGCGAGCAAACGGAAAATTATGTGTTTGTAAACACTTCGGGTATGGTCCGATTAGTAACTAAGCCACCCGAACAAGATACGCGAATCGAGTGAATCCTAAAAAATTAAAAAAAAATTATTTGACCGGAAAAGTACAAAAAGGTAAAAATAATTTCTTATTGTGATTATTATTATTAATTTCGTAAAAGTATTTAAGTTATACGAGCATTGGCATTATAATAATATGCCAAATATAAAAGTAGTGCTATTATTAAATTATTTGTTTAACTGCAATTTTATTTTTTTAGTAACTATAAACTTGTATAGTAAAACTTTTTGTTGTATATATGGCAGTACTTGTGGCGATGAGCAGTCGTTATGATGGCACAATGATGTTTGATGATTAATCCAAAGTAATTATTATCTAAAACTTTGAGGTTTTAAGCAAAATCATGGTTTTTATAGAATCATAAACTATGATGATTTATTGGCCGGGATTTAATTGGAAGAAAGGAGATGAATACAGTGAGATAGGAAAATCTTGATAAGTTCAAAATTATTTCTTCGGCAAGCGTCATAATTTCTCGAGCTTTCTACTGCAGATCAAGTTTTGGAATATTGAAACAACGTGACGAAGAATAAAAAAAAACAACGCGGAGAAAACTATATTATCGATGGAAAAGCCACTTTCGAATGTTCATGCCATCCTTCGGCAATTCTGTTTTCATATTATTTCGTACAATATATTGGAGATAAACAAAAGGAGCTCGTAAGAAAAGTGACAGCGACTTTTGGATCTTGGAGAGACCTTGCTATTTATTCCTGGGTGTTGTTCTCTCATATCAGTAACGATCCGACCGTCATTGATCGTCGATCATCAATATCTAGCAATATTAGAATATTTCTGTAATCTTTTGTTTTAGTGCGTCTTCGGGCCCAATGTGAGCCGCCTATTCGCCGTTTTTGTCTAATCAAAATTAAGAATGATCTATGATCTAATTCTTAAAATATACTATTTACACGCTGCGATGGTAATATTCGCGCGGTATGTACAATGATTTAGTCATCCGTACATTATTGTTGATGTATACCCTTAATAAGATAGGAAAGTTCGATGCGAGATTACTGATTTAGCGATGTATAAAAATTGATAAATATGTCGATTGTGTTCTTTTCATACGGAATGCAAAGCATCTAGCGTAGCGTCGTGCGCTAATTTGCATTAAAAACAAAAAAAACAAAAAAATAAGAAATTTTCAGCACAGTCGAAAATGATTTGAACGTCTCATTTCGTAAACTTTGATTGTCTATATGCGAAAGAAAAATTCTACTTGGATGGGATTATTAATATTTGATTTGGCGAACGGAATTATTAACGTTTGAATTATAACGTTTAGGATAGTAAAATGGTAATGTAAATTATTGGCAGAAGTTATTGAGGTACGTCGAAGAATCATACTTGCAGTTCTTATCGAGTTTAATGCCAACGGCATAAACATTCGATTTAACGATAAAGTTTTGGTAAATTGCAAAATATTTCTGCCAATAGTTTACATTACCAGTTTACTATTATTTCGATATGATGTCCTATAGAAAGTGGTGGATGTTAGTGTTTTTGTTTCTTTTTTGTTATTACATATTTACGATTCATGCGTGGCGGCTAGCACGAGCATATCGCGTGGCAATGTGTAATAATCAAAAAAGAAACAAAAAAATTATAAGTGCATGGTAAGAAAAAGGAAAGAGTTTAGGAAGAAGAATGTATGAAAGAGGAGAGGAGTGCGCGTTGAATAGATATTAAGATTGTATAATATGTAGTTTGTAATTGTACATACAAGGTGAAATTGGCAGCATTCGGAACACAGAATATGTGTGTATAAAATATTAAGTACTAATTATATCTATGTATGTGATAAGATTTATAAGAGAGAGCCGACAGATAGAATGTATAACCCAATTAGGATCTCAGCATATAAGTTAGGATATAAACAACATACACCCATATTAAGTAAGTTAACACCAAAATCACTCAGCTCTGTATCAAAAAGTAATTTTTTATATAAGTTCCCACGAACGCACATCATCTCCAATAGAACACGAATTTTAGCAAACTTACTACGATAGCAAACATTTAAAAACTGGTTGTACATAAATAATAACGAAATGAGAAAATAAATGGCTGAACTAAAAGAGATGTTTGATGTTGTTAAATAAGGGGAAAGAGAGAGAGAGAGAGAAAAGTGAGAGAATGAGTGACAGACAGAGCGATTGTTAATTGAGTGATAATTTGCGCGCGTTCATGTATCTATATTTCCTTCTTTCGTTGTATTGATATGGCGCTAGCTCATAAATTTACTTTCGTATTTATGTTAAATATAATTTTTTATAAATAAATCGAATTAAAAAAACTGATTCGTCAAGCGCTACAGTGAGTTTCAATTTTCCAATCTTGTAATATAATCTGTTAGTAAAATGTCAAAAATTGAGACATACGAAGTTTTTTTGACGATCTTCGTTTTCTTTTTTTTTTCTATTAATGTTTTAGAGGTTAATATATTTGATGATGCACAAGACATTTTTTATTCAATTTTTTTTACGATAGAGTGCATATTATTTGCAATTCTAACTTATACATACATATATTGATATCTATAAAAATTTCTCTGCTTATTTAACAACATCAATCTACAATATATATATATATATATATATATATATATTATCAGCACTGTTATTAATCATCATAAAATAACAGGTTTATTACGATATTTGAACTAACATTAACGTGCAAATGTGAATACAAGAGTTACTACAGATTATTCATTGTATATGCATGAGGAACCTTCCCTAGTGTGTAATTTTGCATGTTATATAATACATTGTAAAACGGAGAGTAATGCAGAACGAGAAACGCGAATATAAAGGGATCTGTACAGAAAATCGCTCATAGCCGAGATATAGATATATCGGAAAAAAGCACTGTCATGATTTCGTATTTGACAGTAGTTTCTTTCCTTAAGTTGCTATGCCGAAATAGTGCAGATGCAGAAAAAAAAAGAACGATCACGCGCGCACTGTGTATACTATTAATATATCTCTAAAAGGTATGGTACATTATATTGTAATCTTCACGAGTATGCTAAGGTATTAAATCTTAAGATTTAATTAATTAATAACTAAAATGAAAAACAAAAACGATGTATAGTGGTAGTGTTTTATTGCGGTACCTGACCTCCCTCCCACACGATACCGAGACCGCTGCATGCACGAGATCCGCGAAGCGAATTGGACTCTTTTAGAGACGGATTTTGATCTAGAGTTAATTACGTTTTGTCACACGATTACTCTTCTTGCTGCGATACATTGCAAACCTTTCAGAAAAACCGTTCAATCGTTACGGTATATCGAATTAATGTCTGGAGAACACGCGTAGATGTTTAAGGCGAATAAAGTAGCATCGAGCTAATTGCAGTGCGTCCTTTATTGAAACTTATGAAACTCGCAATAAAGTCTTGAATCAGACATTGTGTTGTTTATTGAAGCGATGAAATTCCTTCAATCTCAGAGCCTGCGTGCGAATAAATCCAGTGGCGTCCGCCGGCTCGAAATCACCCTGCACGTCCATCGAGACGAGAGTCTGATTGTATAACGAGACCTCGCTCGATCTGGCGATCGCCATAGCTGCAAGAGAGAAAAAAAAACGATATTTATCAATCACAGACTGAAAAAAGAAACAGTCGTGTTCACGCCTCGATATAACTGTCCAACTGTGATAGATTTATAGTTCTAATTAAATCTCGCACAAATTTACCGACCCTTGCCCTTGTACAGCTGCAGTCTCACTGTGCCGTTTACGTATCTTTGCGAATGCTGGATGCATTCCCGCACGAAGTCGCATTCCGGCGAAAACCAGAAACCTGTAGAAGAGGCATTTTTTTAAAGAATTTAATTGGCAAGTGATTTAGAGGTATTTTTATAGTTTTTTTTTATATTATATGCAATTTCTATATTTTATATTTTATCTTATAGTTTTATATTTTGCGTCTTCATATGTCTGACTAATGTAAACGTTGTAAACTGACCGTTGTAAACGTAATCCGACATCTTGTCTGTCAGATACGATTTGACTCTCAGAACCTCGCGATCCAAGGTGAATACTTCCAAGTCTCGATGCGCGACCTCCAAAATGTTGACGCCCGGCGACTCGTAAATGCCTCGAGACTGAAATGTTCGAGGAAATATTGTCACAGTTAATTTTATGCGCTCGTACAGTTCACTTCACAAGAAAAGCTTCGTAAGCCTCATAAAAAAAATACACCTTTAGTCCGATGTATCGATTTTCCACGATGTCTATCCGCCCGATACCGTGCGCACCTCCGATCTCATTGAGATACTCGATTATTGCGAGGGGAGTGTTGACTAATTTCCCATCTTTTAGACTCTTCACGTTAATCGGGTGTCCCTTCTTAAAACTAATTTCGATTTCTTCCGCTTTCAAGGCGGAATCGATCGGATCAGTGGTCATTTGGTAGAGGCCTTTCGGCGCTGAAACGGCAGGATTTTCTAGAATCCCTGATTCGTAACTATAATAAATTAAAAATAATAAGATTAATCCTTTTAATATTTTTTTCAATGCTCTATACAGCCCATGGTATACCTAATGTGCACGAGATTAGCATCAGTGCTCCACGGTTCCTTCGGCGTTGCCGAGATCGGGATTCGATTCTGTCGCGCGTATTCCAGCAAGTCCGATCTTCCTTGGAACTTGGTATAAAATTCGACTTCTCTCCACGGAGCTAAAATCTTGATAACGCATCTTTTATGTCATAACTAATTATTATTATGAGGTTCTAACGACTGTCGATCATGTTTTAATACGTATGATAATTACTACATTTTTATATTTAAAACGAGTGTACGTGGAACGTTTTCGTGAAAATCAAAAATCTAAAAAACAAATTTCTGCTATTTTTATTTTTCGGTCCCTTAGACATTTCTTATACTTTTTTTTATTGCTGTAAAAATAATCGTTGACAAAAAAGAAGTAAAGTACCGTGATTTCAGAACACAGGCTGTAGCAGCTTAACTCAAAGCGAACTTGATCATTTCCTTTGCCAGTTGCTCCGTGCGCGATAACACCGGCACCCTCAGCTTTCGCAGCTTTTATTAACCCCTGGCTGATACATGGTCGTGCTATGGCAGTACCCAGAAGGTATCTTCCCTCATACAATAAGCCGCAAGCCACGGCAGGCCACACGTAGGAAGTTACGAATACTTCTCTGACATCGTCTATCACGACCTTGTAAATAATCGAACTTATTGTTATTCAAATTCTTCAATGAGAGACTGGAATCATTTTATTTACTTCGTTATAAATACGTTCAATAATTAACAAAATTTATTGTGATTTTTGATGTTTTTATCTTATTTCGTATCATAAAATATTTCGAAATAAAAAGATATTTTACCTTGGCGGCACCAATTTTGAGCGCCTTATCTCTAATTGCATTGAAATCCTCCTTTTGCCCGATGTTTGCCTAAATAATCATCATTTCTTGTGTCTACTTGCTTCAGAAAGAATTTACTTAATTACAAAAATTCTTACCACATAAGCGATAACTTGATATCCTTTTTCTTTCAACCACAACAATATGCAAGAGGTATCTAAACCACCACTATATGCTAGAATTACTTTCTCTTTTGTCTCTGACATCTCTCACAGCTTCGCTTTGAAGAGAAATTGAAAATCCGCTAAATTAACGAAGAGAAGAAAACAGCTGGTAAAATTACTCAGTACTAAAGTCCGTTGCGCTTCGGCTTTAAATAAATTAGTTCCGTTGACCTCGGATTACTGATAACCTTCGGAAACTTGAGCTGCAATCGGCGTATCAAGATTCCTATCTAAAAAAGTGCATGTAAAGTCGATAACTCGCATTTCTCGAAATTATTTTTGTCTCGCTGCGCTTACTTCGCGTAAGCGGCTGTGACATTGCATTTTGACAATTGTGTGTATTGCGGTTGACGTAATTATAAATTATAGTAAGAATTAGTGTTAAATAGTGCGCGCGAAGCGCGCGTTTGTAGTGCTAGTATTTCTAAATAAGACACTATCTAAGCAGATTTTTTTTCTTCGTGTTTATTGTTATTCTATGTTATATAATTCTGTGTTCAATTGGCATAGATGTGGCATAGTGATAATTAAAAGACTCAAGAATAGAGCGTATCGTAGGCCTTTTTTATAAGTATAATAGAACTGCTCAGACTATAATCTACATACATATATATATAACAGGATATACTTTATAAATATCGTTTAACTTTGTAATAATCTCTCCACTAGTAGATCGCAACATTTATTGACATTACATTAATAATTATTAATTATTCATCGACAAGCGCAAGCTTCTAATCGCTTCTTTACCAATCGCAAAAAAACAACGATTGCCATAGATCTTGCGTTACGTACATACATACATTGTTATATTATAATTGTTGTATCTGTGTTACATTCAACAGAAGTAGTCACTAATCGAATTTGTCAGAGAGCTGAACGTTATATATATCGTGAATATATTATATACTTATTTTATTACATTATATTAAAAGTAGCATCTGAATTGGCAATTGGTTAACTGAAGAGTGCGTAAAACGATGACAGTATAGATACTATAAAGCAATAAGTTAACAAAGGAAGAACAAGCGTCGGGCTATACATCTAGCGATTTTATTTTACATTTAATACCATTAATTAATAAATTTATGAAATAATATCGAATAAATAATTTTGTATACATCGATAATATAGTTAAAGAGAATAGAGTGAAATGCAATATTTCTATCATGTTTCTATTACAATAGAATTTTTTTTTTAAAGTAGTATGCTTGACAAACGAAAACGATTTACATTTAAGATGTTTGAACACGGTAAGAGTTTCAACGAGGAAAAAAAATAATACAAAATACTAATAACGAGAAATATACAAGAATATCACGTTCCTTCTCTATGATGCACATAGATCTTCGAATTCCCTTTTATTACCGATAAAGGAGAACGATCATGAATATATCTCTAGAGCTTCGCTAACGGCTCGATATACATTATACAATTTCGTGCAATCTATATTAGTATTGCCAAATCTCATACGATTTCTGATAATTATGTATTCGCGCAGGCACTTGATAACTCGGTCTGATCAAGACTCTTCGTGCTCGAAGATTAATACACGAATACTTTCATTGTTATTCAACTGACAACGGGATATACTTGCTTAATATTTCTGCCCAAAATGTGACGCTCACGTTTGAAGAATTGACTCTGTGTTTGTGTTATTTTAGTTAGATACTCTAATTTCATACTCGAGATTATTCATGGCTTCACAGCTGGTATTACTGATGGAAAGGAATTCAGGAATGGTATCTCTTCTTTGTTAGATGTACATTTAGGAGTGTAATTTACTTAAGTCGCTCAGGAATGACTTCGGTGTAATTATATGGGATGCACCTACAAGAATAAGCAAATATTTCATACGATAAGTAGATTTTTAATTACATTTTGACTAGAAATTATTTTTTTATATTCATATAGAAGTTGGTTATCGTAAATTCTTACCGATTATGACTTCCCAATTTTTTAATGCGTTTGTAACTTCGTATGCACATCGAATTTCAGAGAAGCACACTCCACCGACTATAAAAACGATCAAACGAGGAACATTTTTGATGGTCTGTTGACCTTTGTCTTTATGCCAGTGTCCATATCGTGCGCTGCAAGTTTACATTAGTATTTTAAAAACCCAAATAACAATGTAGATTTAAATAAAGAAGCATTACTGTTATATATACCTGGTTGGGGCATGATATCCCGAACTGGCAGCACGTCCGGCAAGGAACGGAAAATGTTTGGAGTCAAGTTTATCCTCGATGGAATCCTCCATAACGTCCTTGATCACTGGTGTCCAACGACTCATTTGGTAAGTTTGCTCTGTGATTCTTTCCTTGCGTGGTACCGTATATAACTTTTTACGACTGCTCTGTAAAATAACATTGCAAATAACAGAATTAAATTCCGTCACAATTGTAAAATTATTGTAAAAAAATTTAATATGAGAGGTAATAATATGCAATTATTTAGCTTACGTCTACAACAACATTGATGCCGAGATTTGCCATATTGACAATAGTCTGTTTGTCATCAATAGATATTTGGGCATGGTGAATCAAACGGTTAAGGTTCTCGTCGCTGATGCCGTTTTTGCTGATGACATATAAAGCTATGATGCGTAATTTGTCCAAATGATTCACAGTCTGATCAAGTAAAATCGGTGTAATATTCTTCATATGATCTTTAATACGTTCGCCTTCTGCATCTGTACCCATGGCCAAGTCCTAGAACACGATGAAAATACTTATATAGTAATTATAAAAGATCTCTTACCATGGAAATTATGGAGTAATAATTATGATATTACGCACTTGCTCCACTTTACAAAGCTTATCTACATTTCCCTGATAACGCTTCATGCAGTCTTCGGCTAATTGTAAATGCGTAGCATATTTGCTCAGTTCTTTTTGATATTGCGGCATCTTTTTGATCATCTGCGACAGGTCTCGCATACTTTGCTTATCACCCTGCGGCATTCTTTTTGATTCTGTAAACTTTTTCAAATTTTTAGTCACGTTCCTGAAAAAAATAACGTTCTACTGTTACAATATTCTTTATTATTGTTAATCTTTCAGAAAATTTGAGACTTATATTTATACATACTGAGACACTACGGCGATATGTTGATGCCTGAGTTCTACCCATAAATCATCGTTTTCATCTAATAATACTTCTTTTTCTTGACCTGCTGTTGCCTCAAACCTATTTAACATTACACGACATTAGAGATCTCGATTCAAATTTATACAGTTGTGTTCAATTATATTTATAATGACTTCACTTACTTGTAGACATCATTATCAATGTCAAGCAAGTCATATGCCATGGCTTGCAGGGTGAGTTCGTGTAACAAAGGTGAGACGCAATCAAATCCTCTATCTAGAATCAATAGCTGAGAGCGAGCTTTCTCAGGTCCTTCTCCCATTGTTGGTTCATCAGCCTTATACGCATCTAGCTTCTGTTGCACCATTTGAGCGAGTTCAACATTGCGATCGAAGTCACTATAACACAATATTAATAGCATTTATTTGATGCTATCAAAAATTTTGTAATTATTCTTAATCAACAAGGACAGAAATAACCAATAAGTTATTAAATCGAAATTACCTGCGATATCTAACTGACGGATATTCTCCAAGTGTGGCGCAGAGTGTCGCGATTTGTTCGGCAATACGTTCCATATCGGCTGACCTCACGTCAAAGAACGAAGGGTCGTAAAAGCAAGCGAAAGTTTTGCTTGAGTCCAACGAGAAGACCTAAGAAAACGGCAGATTCAGTTTTGCAATAATCTCATCGCGACAAGAAAAAAAAGCGAGTTTAATTACAAAGTTTCATACTTAAAGCAAAAATAAATAAGCATGCCAATTAGTAACTTCAAAAGGTAACAAAAAATCGGGCTATACGGATATAATTCGATTAGTGATCACACTACAAGCATGTACGTACAACATACAGATATTATTGAGTCGAAAGGAAAAATGGTGTGAAGAAGACTTTCCTCAGCAAGAGGTCTATCGCCTAGTCTTTTGCAATCTAAAACTAAACTGACGATTTCGGAAAAAGCAGAGAGATCTCCGAGCTTCGTGAACGATGCTCGAAGGCTTGAAGAGAAATTTCGCGCTCTAGAGCTACAAACTATAGCGTCTATTATTTTCGTCTGCTTAATCGTCACCTGCGATTCGTACGGCAAGAATGCGATGTTGATCTCTTTGAGGGTTTTGATCTTTTTAGCGGCAAGAGACTTGCAGATTTCATTGAACAGCTCCTCCGGGCATACTGGCATCAATTGCAAGCATGAATGCATTCTGATTATTAGTAATGTGCTTGTTCATGAGTCATGTGAAAGGCTCAGGAATGGACTGGACAGATCGGATGAGAGGATAACGTTGTATTAATATCGTCCCGACTGACATCCGGATAACCCGTGCGCACGACTAAATTTACGTGATTAGAATACCGAGAAGTGAACATAGAACGCGTGAATGAATTATTGTCTTATAGTGTGTAAACGTCTTTCTCTGTGTATGAGTGTGTATGTGTATGTATATGCCCACCACCACGAAGGACGAAACGGTCAAACATTTTTCTTGCTATAGTGTTCGTTGCTTTACCTGCTCTTCATACGGTATGAAAGCGATGTTGATCTCTTTTAGTGTCTTTATGTGCTTAGCTACCAGCGAGTGACACAATTCTTTGAACAACTCGTCAGGGCATGCTGCAAAGAGATATACTGAGTATGTCGAACCTCGAGAAGTTAGAAAAAAAAAAACACAGATCGAACCGCTTAATCTTGTACGATTGTTCGTCTCAAAACATCGCTCTGTGAGCTTGTTAACTTATATTTAAATGAGAGAATCAATAAACCCGCATTGTTGTGAATTTAGACGATCGGTTACACTCGCATGGAGACCTGTTGTGGGAATTAGTAGGATAAGTAGGCTTAATTCGATAAATTTCAAATAACTCGAGCAGAATATTTAAGATGCTTAATTATATCATTATTTAATATATATGTATATTAATTATATATTTATATATTAAAAATTCAGAATCAAATATTAAAAATGATTTAATTAATAACTAAAGAAAATATAATTAAAACATCTTACATTAAATTTAAGTTTGAGTAAATATTAAATTAATTTCAGATTGAAAGATTATAAATTGAAGTAATCTGCATGCTGCAAATTGCAAAATTACATTCAATAATTCTATATTAATTCATCAAGAAAAAATTACTTCTACATAAAAAGACATTTACGTTTATTTCACTCATTTTTGCGTTTCTTATTTGAACGCTATACGAAATCGCGCAGCCTTTCGAAAAAAAAAAAATTGGATAGTTTGGATTCTTTAAAAAGAGGAGGATATCCTTAGAGAATACAGGATCAACTGTGTATGAAATATACCTTCCGTGAAGTATACGTGGGCGACTTTGTACATGGTTCTCGTCGGGTTACTAAAGTCGTCGATCAATTTCTGCACCGACGGATTACAAGGCGTGATGAGGTAAATGGCCTCCATCGTCGGCAGAGGTTCGCGCTTCTTATTGATATCCTCCACCAGGGTGATACCCTGAGCGCTGATATCGTGCATCTTGCAGCAGGCGGACACCATTCTCATGGCAAGCTGATCCACCACCAAGATCCGCCATTCTACCCCACCTGTTGTCTTCTTCTTTTGCTTGATCACCTCGTTCATAATCTCTGCGACGTAAGAGAATTAATCAGAATGATGAATTCTTCGGGAATTGTGAGCTTATGTGACTGTATCCTCTACCCTGAGAGTAGGATAATAACTTTGTCTTAAGCAACAATGCAAGAGCTAGGTAATTGAAGTAACTATTAATTTTATATCCCGCGGTATTTAGAACATGAAAATTTAATTTGCAAATTTTAAAAGGCAGCTTCTATCTATCTTTAACAGAATGCAAATTATAAGACGGTATTCTTTGCTGCGGCAATATAAGTGTAATATTTATATCACATTTTATAATAGAGAAATCAATACTTTGGTAATTATATTTCTCTCGCACAGAATATTGTAAATTGCGTGTTCCGCGCGTTGAATACAAAATCGAGTCGATACAAATACATAAAAGAAGGAAGTATCTTCATGGATTAAAATTGCAATTATCGACTCGATAATTGCTATGTAAGACTTCTTAAATACTAACATAATTAGATTACGTTTGAAAAATAAAAAAAAGAAACTTGTAATTTTTTTAAATATCATTTTATTCAAGAAATCGTTGGGGAAAAATTAAAAATCTGGGAAAAATTCTAGTGCCAACGAAAATACGCAAGCACTATTAATTTCGCACGAGTCATTGACGGCGCGGTGATTGATGTAATTAACAATGCTGACGGACCAAGAAGTCCTTTGACGTTCTCCGACACGTATATTGATCGTCTTTACAGAGAGATGACGTCACTGCGTACAGGTACGTATCAACGGGAGTCGCAAGCCCCGTTTTTCAATATTCTCTCAAGTGAAAAATCGGCTATTTATAGATGCGCGAGAGACGCGTAGAAAAAGTCTTCCTTAATCCCTAGTTCAGAAGGGCAAACTTCGTGGCCTTCCACGTTAACATGTAAAAAAAAAATAACAAAAAGAACTTTTTAATCAAATCATTTTACTTAAAAAAACTGTAAAAAATTTACGTGAAAATTAAATAATTAAATAATTTCTGAAATAATTGTATAAATAAAAATACAAGAGCAATGTTATATTATACTGCGTCTAATATATCAATATATCTAATAGTAATTCTACCACACGGAAGTTTGTAATGCATTGACAATATAAAATAAATATTTTACTTAATATTTTTATGCGCGTACTTTAAAAAAAATTAAATATGTAACGTAAAATAACATTGTAGCAATATATATTGTGCATCTGTATTGGTTTTGCAAACATATGGAAATGCAATAGCGAATAAAATGGATATCCCTAGTTTTATTTACGCCCGTTTTGGCAAAATATCCTGAAATCGATCGAATGAATCACTCTGAAAAAGCAAGCTTTTTCGAGAAGATGCGCATGTAGAACCGCGAGAACAGGCAAGATGATTGCTAGTTTAGCTAATTGCTGAATGAATACCTGTCGCGTACGGATTTTTATAGTAACATCAACATGAGATGAAACTAATGTAAATAAAATGAATTTTTCCTCCAATTCTTGCACAACATCGGGATTAATCGCCCGCTTACGGACAATCATTGACGTGACAATATTCGCAAAGATTCCCACGGAAGTGTCCGTATGCTTTCACGTTTGCGCCTCGATCGTCCTGGCGAGCGCCAGAAATTAAAATCTGCGAACCGGCAGCTGAAGGCCAGTGATAATTCCGATAAAAGGCCGAGCTTTCGACGTCGCAAGCACGCGGGAATGATTTTCTGTGTTTATGCGCGACAATCGACACGCGACGATCGACGTCAAGGTGTATTCCTCTCCTCTCCGTTACTCGCGACACCGAGGCTCGGGCTCGGTGACGCATCGCCAAGGCCCGAATCCTCGCGAGGCGCGAGGACACAAATCTCGGATATTTTCCCCGAGCGTGCGTTTCACGCTCTCGGCAGCAGCGTTTGACGTTTCTCCGTCGCCCAGCCGTCCGATGAATCATCGGGGAAGCGCGGTACGCCCCAATCGAGATCGCTCGGCGTGACCGCGGGATCGGCCGGCGCCGAGAGATCGACGCGATCGAGAGGCCACGCGGGTCGTCCCGACGACGTCGCGCGACAATGTTTACAAATAGATCCTAACGCCTCGCACGAAATTAACGCATTTTTTTACGCTACTCACTTTGACCGACTTGTGCCTTGAGCGCCATTTTGACAGGACTGACTGTCAGCTCGTTCGCCAGATGGCGACGCGCGCGCGCGAGGCGCTAATTCCTCTCTCCCCCACGAAAGTTTCGCGGCGCAAAGTTGGCCGAGCGTCCGCTTCGATCGGCACCTGCGCGATGCGGCGCCGTTTCGTGTATTATTAGCGATCCGTTCCGATTAGCCGAACTTTTTCACGCGCGTCTTTACTCCCTCCCGCTCTTCTCCTCTCGTTTCAAGAAGAAAGGTGTATATCTCGTTTTTATTTCGAATATCGTCCGTAATAACAAAACGACACAGTCTGTACAGGATGTCCCTTGTAAAGATACTATCGGTCGAGATTGAGATTCAATTGTCGAATAAATTGAGGAGCGTTTATGTGCGAATCTTGAAAAATTATGATCGTATTACAAAATCGCGGACAGAGAAATAAATGGGTAAGAAAGGAAATTTATTGCGTTTCATCACGATAATCTCTTTTTGTGACCTCGCAAAAAAGACTTGTTCAGATTCAACTGTCATTCTAGTCTCACGGAATGTTAATTTGGAATGTAGCACGCGACTTTAATATATAGACATCTCGGATGTTCATGATGAGACGACTTAAATATCTCTAATAATTTCTGGATTCTTGAAAAATTCTCACGCTGAGCATTCGCGTGTATGCGCCGGCATTCATGAAAATTTAATATATATTATATGTGATATAAAGTTTTTGCAATGAGATTTCGCGAACGCGCAGCCGCAAAATGTTACTAGCCGCACGATAATTAGTGGATTTAAAATCGCGTGCAACCTTGGACTAAAAGGATGCAGCTTTAGTAGTACTCGTGTATATTATATTTGTAATTAAATAAAATTAAGTAACAAGCGAAAAAGTTATCTTTAACGAAAACATTTCGGTATTTATAATTCAGTCTCATTGATCGATAATAATGTTCAAATACGATCGCCGAATCAATCATTACTTTTGCATGTGAACGTGGCTGTAGTTAGAGTAACTAGACGCGTCACGCATCATAGTATCGATACATTCAATCGAAGAATGTACAGTCCGTTCGAATCGTCGGTCGGTATCGTCCGCAGTTACGCACGTCGCGCAAAGTGTCGTTCTCAATAATTTAATCTCATTGCCATTTCTCGACGCTACTCTGCGGAACAGCGTATATCGCAGAACCCCGATCGCGCCCGCGCGTGTGTATATTTTCATAACTGACCGCGTATATTGAACTCCGGCATGGAAGCGACATGCGGACGCGCGCGTGAGACGCGTCGACGCGCGGTCTATCGATCGGCACCGGGATCAAAGTGGATCCGATTTGTCGATTGACACCGCGCGCGCGGTCGACAGTGATTACGCGCGGCGCGCGCGAATAGACGTAAAGCAAGCGGGGCAGCGAGAACGCGGGCCGGCCGGCCACCTGACAACGAGAGCGAAAGGAGCGAGAGCGTGGTGGATCGGCGCGGGTGGGAAACGGAGCGAGAGCGTGAACGGGAGTGAGAGAGAGAGTGAGAGAACGGGAGGAGGGAGAGACAGACAGGAGGCTCTCGGCGCGCACCGCGAGGATCCGAGCCAGCCGCATGCCGGCTCTGCGCCGTTCACTCGCCGCTTCCGAGCTTCAGTTCGGATTCGTTCGCCGTCGCGTGTGTCTCGCGTTTACGCGCGCGCGCGCCCATTCGTCCGTAAGTGAGTAAGAGTGTGCATTCGCGTTGTGTACTCCGTTATCTTCGCTACGTTCGCGGGACCACCCGCGCGCCGTCAATTAATTTCCTCGTGCGCAGCGTGTATCTCTCTCTCTCTCTCTAACGACACCTTCGTACTCGTCAGTCTCGTCACGGTGCTCCGATATCAACATCGTTACGTTCGGTCAACGATTTAGCGTGTCGCCCTCGCGTGTCACCCTCGCGTGTCGCGGACGCGTGACGGGCGAGGGAGAAAAGGAGGCCGCGTGCCCGCGCGTGAATCGCGGAAGAATGTGTGCCGCGACGGTATCGTTCGACGGTATCGTTTCTCAGTGATAACTCGGACGAGGGAGGAGAAGGAGAGGCGGAGGTTTGTGTGATCAGTGCCTGATCCCGCTGTGCCGAGGGAGGAGCGTCGACCGCGACCTGGATTTCGCGCGATCCACATAACTGCAGGCGAAGATGAAGCTGGAGTATCCCTGCCGGGTCGAGGGCTGGCTCAACGTTTGCGGTAAGTGCACGCCGATTAATGTTTACATGTGTCGTGAGCGCGAGTGTCGGAGGACGATTATCGGAGCGACGACCGCCCCGGCGCGGCGAAATTGAATCTTTGTGACTCGGCACGGCTGATATAATCGGCTGCCGGTTGAAGGCCGATAATGGTTCGTGGTTTGAAATATCGATAGCTCGTATTGTTCAGATAAGATGATAGGTCGATTAAAAAATTCTGCTGTGTGGTAAAACACGATTCGTTTCTCGAACAGAGACATTGTATTATTTAAATGAATTTGAACTCTGTCATCAATGTGGATATTCCCGACTGTATATAGTTGACGTTCTCGAGAACGCGCAACGCTTTGAAAATCGCGACAGATTGTCAAATAGCTGAGGTTACGCTGAGCGTTCGCGATTTTCGAGGAGTGCGCGTCAGATCGCGTAACGGAATTTTGCAACCCTTGTGCGGCATTCCTCGGGCTGCATTCGGTTTAAACGGGAAGTAAAGTTTTCGGGCAGGCTAATGCGAGAAATCGCTCATCCGTGTAGTAGGTATAATATTCTTCGCATTGTCGCATTTAATCCCTCGAATGCACGTGCAACGAGAATGCTATTCCGCAGGTTTCGGCATCACGCGAACTGCACGCTCTTTGTCGCATAATGGGAAACATTAAATCACTGTATAATAGAGAAGATGGGGTCATTGGAAGTCCAATGCATTTTGCATTTGATCGAATGGGCCTCAGGATAAATGGAGTTTATGACATTAAATATATATTAATTGAATCTTAATTAATTATCTATGCGAATTAAATTGACTATCAAATTGATGTTTATGGAAATCTACGTATAGTCTCATACATAATGACGTAGGCATAAATCATACAAAAAAATTGAATATATATTTAAAGTGCTTGTACAGTCGTGGACGCATCGGTTGCAACACATTTTTTTTATAGGTTTCTAATATATATTTTATAGATAACTTATATTTTGCAAATGCGAACCACGATGTACTATCTTTAGTCTAGAGACAGTATAACACCAATCGTGGTCCGCATTTGCAAAATATTAACGCATTTTAAAACCTATAAAAAAAGAAAGTGTTGCAACCGATGTGTCCATGACTGTACATCTTTTTCTGTATTATAGAAAAAAAAATTGGATTTAAATCAAAATTAGTTTTTTATATTTCTACTTTCTTTATTATTCGAGCAATTTCACTAAAAATGAACAATTTGAATATATTTCTGCATATTATTTTTATTAGTATGTGTTGGGTCATTGACATCCTCCGTTCTGAAAATTATCATATTGAGAGTAAAGCAAATATGAGTTTGGTGGTTATCAATCATACAAAGATAACTGCAACATTACATAGATGGATTTGATAAAGTTAAATTTGTCATCGAGCGAAGCACTCACGTAGAATTTTTACATTTTAAGGAAATCTTTGTGTGTTTCCATAAAATTTAATTATATCTTACTGCAAATGAAAACACTTGTGTTTACTTATGCAAAAACGACGCTTCTGAAAGCGTTTAATATATATGTATATATCTATATTTAATTGTATTATTTTAATATATATAATTATTTTTTTTCTCTCTCTCTCTCTATATATATATATACATATAAGTATATGTACATATGACTGACATCGTGCATCTGTAATTCGCACGCTTGAATTAGCCTCGGTTTTAATGAATAAAGATCATTAACGAGCACTTTATACACTTTTTGCTTCAGAGCACTCCATATAAAAATGTTTCGACATTTATTAATTCCTATAGTTCTGTATAACTTAATTAAGTCAATATCTCTTAAACGAAACAAACTTTCAGAAGATAATTTTGTTTGTTTGAGATCCTAAATACATATTATATGTTTGGCGATTTAACCCGGTAGAACACCCTGTTACATTATTATATCGTACTCATTTAGCTTGCAAACTACAAAGTGTAGAGTCAGAAAGCTTTTCGTTTCTCACTGCGAGGAAGAAAAAACGGGCATTAAAAAAATTTTATGCTAGAGACAATTCGCGCGAGGCTTTTATTAACTGCCTTATTTTGCCGTCGTGCTTTCCTCTTTTTATTTCTTGTCGTCGTAAATAGACTTTATAGCTCGTCGCTAATTCTTCCAAGTATCGTGCGATTGTATAATTTACAGGCGTTGAATGGCTTCTTTCTCCATCTCTCGGGATACGTGCAGATGCTCGCTCACGGCGGCTTACGCAATCCAGTAACAAAACGTAATAAATAGCGGTGAAGTGTCGGATGTTACGCGATAGCTTTTTAGTTTTTACATGCATCTCGTACGTATTTCTCGCGAGATTTGATACATAGATCATTCTTTCGTTTTTTTCCCCGCACATTTCTCTCGCTTTCTCGTCGCGAGACTGTCGCGCCGATATGTACCAGGCTCGCGAGGGGAAAAAGGAGAAATAAGGAGGGTGAGATTTCTTTCTGCGTGGCGACTCTCATGTGGATTCGACGGGATTTCTTATGTCGTCGGGTTTAACGACCTCCTGCTTTTTTTTCGTGGATCTTGTGTAAAAACGGGAAACTTCGATTTTTACGAACCACCCGACACACGTCGTACGCGGCGCGCCTATCGATTCTTTAGCTGACCGAAGAAAAATCCTCGGTCCAGTCGTCTGTGTCGTGTCGGTCTTTTTACTATCGATACCGAGCGAAGGCTACGGCGTTCGTTAAACCCCATGACATTTTTGCAGGTTGACCTTTGAAACTCGTAGCTTAGACTTCACATGATTATCGTGAAATACTGAGATCAGGAAAATCTATACATTGTAAAAAAAGTATATAAAATTATATATGCAATAAACTATAAAAATCATATAATATATAACGAAAATATATACATTTAATTTTACATACTTTTTTTCATAGTGCAAACCATGATGATGAAATTTGGTTGATCTTGAGAGTTTTAGAAATTTTAGAACACAAATATAAAAAAAAATGAAAAAAAAAGACAGGAATTTGAAATTTGAAGTTTTATATTTTTCCTTTTTCTCTGTTTATATAAAAAAGTATTAATTATAATATATATACTATAATTAATACTTTTTTTAAATTAGATATATGGCGTATGCTATAGAGTACTATAGACTCAGCAAATTTAATGGCGTCACATATTTGCTTAAATATATTTAATAAAATGTTAAATATATAAAACATATATATATTTGCTACTTATTTTATAAGGCTCGTATTTCATTTTCCTTGCATTTATTCATATGTGAGCCGCAACATCCCTCTACTTCCTGGTGATCATCTGCGATTATCTGGATCGCATACTCGTGGGAGTATTTTAATTTCCCGGCTTGTCTTCGTTGCCAATCTGCATCGTGCGTATCGTCAAAGTATCGGCAAAGCTCCCACATCGACCGTTATATCTTTTTTTTCGCTCTCGAAGCCTCGCGCGCGCATTTGCATCGAAATGAAAACATTCCCATTTGATCGCCATCTCCATTGCAGAGGCCTTTTGTCTTTGCCCCTGTCACTGAATGGACGTTCCCTGTATCATGAATTTGTACACATCCGCCATTCACGGTCTGTCGCGGGAATGTCCTTGTCTTTACTGAGGTAGTCTTCGAAGTACTTCCTTTGTTTCACTGTTTACTTTCTTCACTTTAAAAGATGACCAGATGGGAAACTTTCCTTTTTTAATTATTATCTATTTTGTATTACGACAATCAACTGTAGTTACACAATGCAAATGCAAATTGCATTTTATTTCTTATTAGAAGTACTTGATTGTGACAGCAATAAAAATTCTTTTTTTATGAATTTTTTAAAATAATTTTATAAATATAAAATTATACACAATTATAAAATAATATAACTATACGTGTGGCATGAAGAGTAAAAAATATTTTTGTATATTTGTATATAAGCGAACGAAAAAGAATTTTTTTTCTCATGACATTAATTTTTTCAAATTTTTTGAGAGAAATGCAGGTGCAGCTGTATTCTTTTTTTATTTTCCTCGATAGAGTTAAACTGGTTAGGTTTGAACGACTGGCTTCGTAGTAGTTCGGTCATATTTCATACTTTCCCGTTTGCATACTCTTTCCGAAATAATAGAGAGAGCGTTTCCGCTGTACGTGACGAAAGGCGACGTGTTATTCACGTAAGTCGCAGATTACTGTCCACGCAGACAGGTAATCTACCGCTCCTCTTGCGTATGATCTGCATGAATAAATCACACGAAATCGGGAGAGGAAAGGAGGGAAGAGAGGCAGCTGTAACTTGTTTTATTCGATACAAAAAATGGAGTTCCTATATAATGAGTTTCAAAAATATTTGTTATACTTACAACAAGTATTTGTCTTACAAATTATAATATTTATATATTTATTTTTATTTCGCTTGAAATTATGCCTCTTGTTTAAGAGCTTTATAGTAATAAGGACGCGCAATACTAAACTCACTTTCCCCAACATATTTAAAAATTTGAGGATTACATATGTAAGTTAACTTTGCGATAAAATACTTTCATTGAAAGAAATGATGACATCAATATAAAACAGTAAATTCGTTTTTTTTTTTTAAGAAACTGTCGGCTTGTTAACAGATATTTATGCTTTGATGCTTCTTAAAGCCAACCTTTTTTGGTTATATGAACGTCCGTATCATCATTCTCGATTTACTAAAGCATTCCTGGCCGAATTATTGAAATTTTGTCGAACGAACAGCATGAATTGTTACGTGATTAAGTAAGAAAAGTAATAGCATGTGATAAACGTCAGAATGTCCTCAGTAAGCCTTATTTGGTAAGGAAACTTGGAAAGTTTCTGAAATTCGCAAATTGAGGTGCAAATGCCATATACACACATATATTAAAAATAAAAATTTTATTTAACAAAAATTAACATTGTTATAAAAATAATAATTTAACTCCTTGAGACATTTACATTTTAGATTTAATAGAAAACATAATAGATATAACATTAGAGCTCGACAAAATTAATATCATATATTGATTTGTTTT